TAAATACAAATAAATAGATTATATATAAATATGTACAAAATACTATGGCAGATATCACACACATGAATGTGGGGCTGTAAAGAAAGGAGTGGGTAAAGCAATGCAGCCATACAGCATGTTATACAATCTAAAATACAATTCCAGGTACATACATAGTGCAGAATATATACAATCTAATATAGGAGATAGAAAACATGTGGGTATAGATATATGTGTTAATGTACACATATGCATACACAATCATATTGGGGTAGATTTAGTAAAGGAGTTGAGGTTGTTTACTTAGCAAAGTGAATATTTACTATACTGAGCTTGTAAACTAGGTGAAACTTCATTTCAATCAGCAAAAAAAAGGTCTTAGCAAAAAAAGCAAAAAAAAATTCTTCAAAGTAGACAGCTTTTGTAAATCTCTCTCTCTCTCTGTGTGTCTTAATCTATCTATCTATCTATCTATCTATCTACACACACACACACACACACAAACACACACACACACACACACACACACACACACAGAGGGTCCAGTTATATTTTAATAAACGCACACATTTATTCAAATACAGTAAGAAAAAACAAATCTGAAAACTTGATGAATGAATACAAGGTAACAATATAACTACTGACAAAGTTTAGAGGGTTTAGAAAGTTTATATAAATTGTTAGAAATTCAGACTCAGCACATGTTTCTGCAATGTTCCCGGTTACATTGTATGTATCAGTTATTACATTAAAATATCAGCCTTCTACTGTGTACAAATAAATCGTGTACTTATTTTTTTTATTTCTTAGGAACCTAAAATATTTCTGGGTGTGGAATGAGGGAAAATTGTGCCTTTTAGAAGAATTTTCATTTGCATTTGTTGTATCCTGACAAGATGACTATAGACAATAAGGAAATATATAACGTTACATTATATTAGCGGTAGCTTTAGATTTTCACTGGAAATATAGCCGGTAATTTCATCAGTAAGGTGTAGATAATTTGCAGTAAGCAACTAATAATACTGAAGACAATAAATATAACATAATAGTAAACTATGCATCTCTCAGGTATGAGACTTGACATTTTGATAGATCACTCACTAAAGACCTGGAATCCCCCTGGTATTTCCAGGGTACCTTTTTTTTTGATGAACAAAACGTCAGTATATAAATATAATTGTATTATATAATATAAGCTTGATTTACGTATTTACCATAATTTAAATGAGATACAAAGTAAACAAATAGCAGCGTTACCTTGTTTGATGTTACAGGATATGCACCTTTTCTATCTAACGCATTGTGACTATAATAAAACGCTCAGAGGAATTTAAAAACAATACTTACTACAGTTTGAATGTTACACTATGTTCTCTGCCTGTACATCAAAATTAAAAGAATCCACAGCAATATTTACCTGCTGCCTCTGGAACATATATTACTTAGCAGTGTTTACAGCATTGACTATTATGAAGAAACTAGTCACTGACTTGCAATGGGAGATTCCGAATGATGCAATGCGAAATTTGACCGCTAGATGTCTCCATCTGTTTTCAAGTCGATTTTGTTATACTCGAGGAACACCCCACAGAATGGGTACAAATATGTCTCATTAATATGTGTATACTGCAAGATGGATATAGAACCAAAACATATAACCCACGCTTCAGTTTCCAGAACTGCTTATTAATTTAAACGGTTTACGTGACTGAGGTCAGTATGATACTTTCTGCTCTTCAGGTAACAGTGTAAACATAACTGTCACACTAAACTGACCTTCTATAAAAAAAGAAAAAACTTCACACATATGTAAGGGGTGTCCCAAGAGCCCCTGTGCAGTTTTAAACTTTAATCATTTCAGATGTATAAAATGTCACTCACTTACAATGCATACCAAAGTTTAATTACTAAAGTTTTAGAACAATGCAGATTTGTTTTATTCTTTTCAACTTCAATATAATTCCCTTTATGTGCGATGCATTGCTGTAGTCGCTTTTAGAACTGTGTGAAAATATTAATCAGTTACTGTTCAGTGAATTCATGAATTGCATTTAAGTCGATTTTGTTATACTCGAGGAACACCCCACAGAATGGGTACAAATATGTCTCATTAATATGTGTATACTGCAAGATGGATATAGAACCAAAACATATAACCCACGCTTCAGTTTCCAGAACTGCTTATTAATTTAAACGGTTTACGTGACTGAGGTCAGTATGATACTTTCTGCTCTTCAGGTAACAGTGTAAACATAACTGTCACACTAAACTGACCTTCTATAAAAAAAGAAAAAACTTCACACATATGTAAGGGGTGTCCCAAGAGCCCCTGTGCAGTTTTAAACTTTAATCATTTCAGATGTATAAAATGTCACTCACTTACAATGCATACCAAAGTTTAATTACTAAAGTTTTAGAACAATGCAGATTTGTTTTATTCTTTTCAACTTCAATATAATTCCCTTTATGTGCGATGCATTGCTGTAGTCGCTTTTAGAACTGTGTGAAAATATTAATCAGTTACTGTTCAGTGAATTCATGAATTGCATTTGCAATCACACACACACACACACACCACACACACACACACACACACACACACACACACACATCTTCAATAAATAAGCACTCAAAGTGTTTGTTGTAATGTAAAACAGCACATATACTTTTAAGACACAACGAAGATAAGACATAATCTGGTGCAGTTGTGCATGTCAACCAATCAACTTCTCTCTTTTATTTTCAAATCTTAAGCGAACAAACTGAAGAGAGAAGCTGATTGGTTGCCCCGGGCAATTGCTCCAGATTTTGTCTGCTCCAGTTTTGATCAATGCCCCCTATGTGTGTGTGTGTGTTGCTTAGGGCTGCTGCCACCTGTAGCTGATCACAAAACCTGTATGTAGGCTGTGTCTTTAGAATCAACCTATGAGGGAAAAGTCAAATAACTTTAGCAATACTACATTAGCAAAATGACTTCCAACTTTAAAGTTTTCATGGTTTTGCAATAAACCTGAACCAAAAAAATACTACTTACTGGAACGAGTCAGCTGATTATGGAAAGAAAAACAAGGTTTACAGTTTATATGTTATTTAATATTGAATAAACCAATCTCTCAGTGTTCATTCTTCACGTTGGAGCTCTACTGACAGGCATAAACGATACACATGAGGTAATGAAGCACAGTTACATACAGGGAATTATCACTGTCACTAGCAGACACTACACAGAAATATCTCTACAAATTGCAAATCCTATTTTTTAATTTCAATATCTTTCTAGTAAAAACTTAGCATTTCTGACAATTTGTAAGACCGTTGCACATTGCACATGATAATGTCTGACAGTCAACAGAAGATAGAAATAATTACTTTGGTCCTCCTGTGTAAAATCATGGAGACGCTCACTTTAGGATTCCTACAAGAGACAGGTGAGGTTACAGAAGACTGGAGTAAGAGCATTACCTTAGTTGAATCCCAACGAGTGAAGTGTAACTTCAATCAAATCTACACAGTTTATCATAAACGACTCAGCATTCATGAAACTCCTGTGATCACCTACATATTATACTGAAATAAACTAAAACCATGCAGGGCACATGTGAGGTATTTGGGCTGATATACAAAATTAGGAGCAATCTGATTGGTTGATATTGGCAAGTGCCCTAGATGGGTTTTTTTAACTCCATTTTTAAAAATCAACCCCAAGTATCTCTTAAATTAATCAAATGTATGCAGATGACAGAATGCATTCTCATAGCCTAGGCTTGAGGAGCAATGCTTGGTTTCAAACTGATGGGGGCGCCAAACGACAGGGATAAGATAACTGTGTCTTCCTTTTAAGTCATCAACCACTGGAAATTGAATATGACTCAAGTGGCCACTTTAACAACAATAATCTCACTTCTCCATAATTTCCAACGACTGAGGGTTGTATATTCTGAAGGCTTGCAATGAACCGTCGATTTCATCCCTGTCAGATTGCCTCTGGATAGAAGAAAGTGTGTTTTGATGTGTTATGTACACAAAGCCATTAGGAAAAAACACACATCCAAACCGGGTCGGAACCTGGCTTTGACAACCTTATTATGTGTTCGGATCCATGCTGGACAAACAGTTACAGTGACAAACAAAAATGATCTCCACATAGGCAGTTTATTCATGATTCATAAAAAAACATACAAACACAGACATGTGGACAGAGATTTAGGATTATTTGACACAAAGAAATGAAAGGAGGAAATAGGTTAGTGTAATACATTCTAGAACATACATGTATGTGTGGATGTTTAGACACATACAAATATCTACTTTTTGCCTTATTTTATTGTGTTTGGCATCACTTTACCAATAGAAGTATCTTAAAAAGTAATTCAGATTACATGTATAGTTAGACAGACAATTGCAATCTTTTTAAACCGATGCACTGGATAAACGTACCAAATAATAAATACACACATTTGGGTATACATGTGAAAGGTCAGTATTGTTTCTCATGCTTTCTAGAAGTAAATGAAACGATTCCTAAAACCGTATTTACA